AACCATGGTGAAATACATCCTTCCCCTCCTACTGTCACATTCCACTGCTTTCCACAAAGGCAGTACAAGGGGGGTTGACTCAGTAGAAGCTCTGCCTGCATTTCAGCCTGTTCCCAATTGCTTTTGGATACGTGTCTGTGGTGCTGAGTTAATAGAAAAGTTGTTTAGGGAAAGATGATGAAAGTGCATCTAAAACATTCTGGGAATAACATGGGCAGCTTGATGAGAATTTATTCTTAGTCTTGTTTATCAATGGTTGACAGCTTAATATGACTATGATTATATCATGTTCTCCTGTAGTGCTTTTGCTCTAATAAGCACCAGTTCACTAAATTTTTTAGGGGATGTCTGGCTTTAAACAGATGAGAATTTGCATTAGATTTAAACACAAAAAAATTAGGCATGTGCCTTAATTACTTTGAACACTACAAGTGTGACTGCAGTGCATAAGCCCAGATGTGCTAGTTTTAACCTATTAAATATGAGACCTTGTTGCCTTAATTTGGCAGAACGCTGTGCAGAAAGATGCAGTTTCCCTGATGCCAGTGTCTGAGTGCTGCTTCATCTGGCTGAAAACTGATTCTCCTTTTTCTCTTCCCCACTGCCCCCTCCCTGTCTTGCAAGTGGATTAATTTTCAGCCCAAGCAACTCCCTGGCTCAGCTCAGCACAAGCAGATGAACAGTGTGCAGCTAGCACGAGCAGTAGGTAGAGATGAGAGGTCAGATCACCTCCCCTCTCAGCAGTGAGACAGAACATTGCAGAAATAAAGCAACCCTGGGACTGTGGCCCACCTATAATGCATGTAGTTAATTATAAAGATGTAGTAGTATTTGCACGTACAAATCTGCAGAGGACTGCCTGTTTGGTTTGAATGTTCCTGCCTGAGCCTGTGCCATCAAAGCTTTATGTCTGCTGATACTTGTGCTAACTTCTTTCACATGCCAAACAGTGCTGCAGTGGTGTTCTTGTTGTGTTGAAAGCGCATGTGTATGAGGATTGTTTATTTGCCATACTAAAGCATGAAATTTTAGTTAAGGTGAGAACAATTATATTAAGAATCAGTACAAATGCTGTAGCTGCGTAATGTAGTTACTGTGAGTAGTGAGTGGCAGTAAGCTTTACAGCAAGTACTGTGCTGATCAAAAAGTGATCACCCTGGACTTATTGGTACAATTACAGGCAATTTTTATTGCAATGAGAATTATTTAAAATTTAAATAGAGTTGACATCATGTTCTTTTGGCCTAATTCTCAGGCTTTTGTATTATTACTAAAATGATCTGGGATATTATATTGCAGTACACTGCAGAATGGCACTCTTAGGAAAAAGATTGATACAGCACTGGTGTTTGAATAGGAAATGGAGCATGGCAAATTCTGAGATAATGCTGTGATCTTCAAATGTGAAGAGTTGTATGCATAGCTCCTGTGTGGAAAGCTACAGCTGTAGTTTGAAACTAACCCTGCTGAAAAGTGGCCTTATGAAAAACCATGATACCTCTTACTGGTTTTTGTTGCATGAGTATATGAGGTGATGTTTTCTTTAAGTAGTACTGCTAGTTTGCATGTCACTAGATGCCCAGTTTGCATTAACACAAGTTGACTTTATTCTAACTGGCAGGAAAAAGTCATCAGGCCCTTGTGGAATATTCCAAACTTTCACTGCCAAGTTCAATTTACTACATTCTTCCTTCTAGACAGCTTGCTCCCATGACAACCCCATGTCAGATAATGCATGTGCAGACCCTGAGTTTCCCATAACTTTGTCCTTGGAATGACACCAGTGGCATTTTTCTCATGATCTTTGAAAACACGGGAGAAAAATAGTTCTTTTTTTTTTTTTTTTTCCCTAACAAGTGTGAATTGTTATTTGGAAAGCATACCACCTTAGTATAAGTTTTAATTATATAGAAATATTAAGAGCAATCAAAAATACATTATTTTGTTTTGAACATTATGAAATAAAGGTTGTGGTTTTTAAGAGTGTGGCTTTGGTTTAAGCACACAGTAAGGGTCAGTCTTCACTACAGAGTTAACTTGCTGCTTTTTTTTATTTCAAGTACCATCCAGATGCACCAGTCTGATTGTAATTGCACTCATAGCCCACCTTAGAGAGGTACAGGCATTATCCAGATATTGCATATACTATTATGAATAGTCCATCCACATGCAGTGAGGACGAAGGCATTGGAAAAAAGTATAGAGCGTTTTATCTTACTGTATCTGTGAGTATGATTCCCAGAGTCCTAATGCCTTACATTGAAAAATGAAGCACCAGGGTAGATGTGTGTCTTGTAAGACTGTTAATACCCAAGGTAACCTTACCTGCAGTACTCAAATCCAGACGCTGGAAAGCAAAGTTGTATGTCCAGTACAGAATTAGCTTGTGTTTATCCTGGGATCAGTTCCCACACATACCCCAACCTCCCCCAAAAATGTCTAACCAAGGCTATAGTAATCTAACAATAGGCTATCAAGGTTTCATTTCAGCCTGAGTTGACAGTTCATGGGCCTTGCTCTTAAAAGGCAGGCCAACCAAACTGATAATATTTCACTGCCATGCCCTAATTACCCCTGAGTAATACTCTGTTGTCTATTTCCTTTTTTACATGCTTCAAAACACCTATAATAGCACTTTAATCCTGCATTTGCCTGCTCTGTTCTGCTTTCATACAGTGTTTGAACAGCAGTGCCATAAGTTGTATGCCTGCGCACAAGGTTGCTGAAAGCAGGCGTCAGGCTTCTAGTACAGTTGTGCTGGCTGATCTGTAAAACCTGTAATTTGGGGAAAATGTATCTAAAGAAACTGTTTAAAGTTTAGCGGACAGAAAAGAAGAGGAAACATCAAGCACACAAGAAGAAATTAATTCCGTCTGCTGAAAGGTTTTGCTGCCAAATATTTTGGTATGGTCTATGTTAGCAATAAGTAACACCATTTGGAAATTATTTTACACACAGAATTGTTGTCGTATTACTATTACAAACAGCAGCTCTGTGCTGGGGCACACAAATCCCGCATGCATTCATGGATCAGCCAAGTAAAAACATGGTATTTCCCACAGGAAATCTATCCCAGCATGCAGACTAGTAAAGCACTGTTGAGGATGCAGCTGCATATGTCAGGCTTTGTACAGACGACCCTCTCTCTGTGCGGGAATAGCTCAAGCTGTAGTTCTTTACTAAAGACACATTCTTAATGCTTAGGCATCAAGTAATTTTTTCTGAAATGTTAGGCTTCTCCCCGTTAAAGCTATCTTGAAGATCTGCTACTGTCTTTACACACCTAGATGTTTGCTGGATCTTTCTGATAGTTTGGCTTGTTTAACTTATTTAACAACTCGTGGCTGCTTCTGCCCAGTTATTTTCCGTTAAAGTCTCTCTCTGCATGCAGAACACAGAGAAAACTTGACAGCTGTGTTTCATTTTCTTTCAAATCTCAGTGTTTCACCAGGCACAGGTTTAGTGAAATCTTTTTTAGGGGATCTGAAAATTTTATTGCTTTGATTTTATTTATTTATTTATTTATTTGTGTATTTGCTTGCTTGCTTGCTTGCTACCGGGTTGCATCATAAATGCAAAGCTGGCTTGTTCAGAGTGCACATAGAAATGGTGCTACATCATTGTCTGGTTGTTTTTTTGTGTGCATGTGATTGTTTTGGGTTTTTTTCCCCCCCATTCTAATTACTTAAAACAAATTGGATCAAGGATAAGGTTGCAGGACTGTAATACTTTTACATCTATATTAAATGTCATCTTAGGAGAAATATTTTTGTGATAAATTTGTAGAAAAAGAAGCAACCTTAAATTATTTTAAGCTAACCATGCTGCAGGAGGACGATGGTGTAATGTTGCTGGTATTTTTATCATCATCATCATTCATTCTTTTTAAATTTTAGGGCTGTCATTTCTGCAAGGAAAGGTTCAATGCTTTTTTTGACCAATTTGCTTTTACTCCTGAGGATAGATGAAGATATTTTATTCAGGAATCAAATTAATTCCTTTTATGCAGAAGACAGTTGATCAAAGTGTGGTTATATTTTGTTTAATCTTGCTTCTTTATCATCTGAGCAAGCACTGCAGTTGCATGCTACCTGTCTGATTTATCAGTGTCTTGTAGAAAATTAGTAACTAGCCTTTCCTCTAACCTGAGGGATTTTGGCAGTTTAAACTAGATAGTGAGCCTGTGAGAAATTGATTTGCCTGCACTTGGTGTTGCAGAACTTAACAATGGTTTGATTCTGGCTTTCCTAATGTAGACATCTTTGCTAGTGCTCTCAGCATCCAAGAATTTTCCTGTTTCCACATGGCTATTTCCTCTCTTGGGTGAGGTAGGCAATTTTGTGAAGGTTTATCCTGGTTTATCATTTCTAGTAGCCAAGAGAATTATTTTAAAAATAAATAAATAACTAAGACTTGGTAGGAAAAGGGGGATGCACACTGAATGTTTATCTTGCTGGTTATGGTAAGGCATTTCTAAATACCTAGTGGAATCCTGCTTCTGTGGAGGTACAGCTTGCATATGCAGATAAATCTGTAGTAGACAGTTTTTTTGTTATTCCCTTTCTAGTTAACATACTGTACTGTACTCCCCTATTTATCATCTATAACATAGGTATATATGGTATCTGTAAGCCTGGGTTTACTGGGATTCAGTAGTTAGAATGGAGTAACTGAGATAACAGCAGAGAATTTGGCATCGTTTGAATGCCATGTTGTTGTGTTGGCACCATGTATAAATGATTTCCTCCTTTTTGTTTTGCTATTAATGATCAACTTCAGCTGTTGAGCTGTGAGTGTCGAAGCATGCTGCACATCACAATGCTCCAAGGCCTCACTGCATCCTCAGCTTTGTGTGCACAATTATCTGTGTGTGCCATAGATGGAAATCGAACATCGAATTACTTTAAAAGATCTGTGAACAGAGATTTAGAGCCTGCTTAGCCTCTGCTTGAAAAATACTTTCTGTGTGATTTCAAGTCTGCTTTTGCTCTCTTCCTCAGGTCCTTTCACAGATGTTGTCACTACAAACCTGAAACTTGGCAATCCTACAGACAGAAATGTGTGCTTCAAAGTTAAGACCACAGCACCACGTAGATACTGTGTAAGGCCTAACAGTGGAATTATTGATGCAGGAACATCAATTAATGTTTCTGGTAAGTCATTCAAGCAGGTTTTTTTGAGATTGAAAATAGCTGCTTCTAATCAATTATTTCTTGGAATGCTTTCAGATTTGAAAGTATTTTGTTGAATGTTTGTGAAAGCAAGAGGTGGTGATTCCATGGATAAGCAGCCATTTCCTATATCCTTATTTCCCTTATTCCTGGTCCAGTAGTAACAGGTTTGGTTTTACATCTTGTTGTGGAGGAAAAAAAAAGGGAGAAATACATAAATGACTGATATAGTTCATTAGCAGCCTTGGCCAGCCTATCCAAACCATTTCAGCTGCTGCCCTGCCCTCACCATGTGATTATTTTTGTAAGGTTAGGTTTTTTGCCAGCTTAACTTCCTGAACCAGCTCACTGCAGGGTCAAAGTGCTTGGACAGGCACATCAAGGGAAGAATAAAACTGAACAGACTGCAGCCATACTGGGTTAGACTGGTGTTGGCTGTTGCCAAACTGCCTAATATAACCAATAACAAAAACACTTTCAAACTGTGCTTGTTTTGTGTTCCTTGAAGATGCAACATACTTTGGTGTTAGAAATGTCAAGTGACTAAATCTTTGCTGTTCCATAGGAAAAGTTAATGATTTTCTCTTAATGAGTCAGTAGCTCTTGACTTGCCTAAGTTTGGTAATGGAAAAGTAAAGGAGTGGCTTACTTTGAAAACATAAAGAGCTGAGTATTTCCCATAAACAGAATGTCTGTATATTATTAACTTGCTGATGATACATGCTTGAAAGCAGTGTATTTTCTTTTTGACTTCTCCGATCCATGTTTTGAACAAATAATTCTATCAAAGCATGTAGTAGTAGCATCCTTCATGAATAAAGTCTGACCTTTTAGTTAAGAAAAGCATTTCTGTGAACATGCAGCTTTGTTTTATTATTTTTTATTATTTATATTAGATTTTCATATTGGCACAGTAAAAAAAAATTACTTACTGATAGGTTATATGGTTTGCCATTAGTCTCTTACCAAACTTTTCTAGCCTGGAATAAAAAATTTTGGGAGCTAAAACTACTGCTTTTTACTTAAAAAAAAAAAAATCAAAACGTAAAAATTAAGACTTTGTTTTTTTACTTATTAAAATGTAAAATATGTTAACACCTCACTCTTGGAGAACTTAATTCAACAAAATAAAAATTGATCCCCAAAATACTTTGCACTGTAACGTTAAGAGACTCTAATCCTGTAAGTCTTCTTATACATGCCAACATTTGCACACTCATTGATCTGTTGTCTTTGGGATTTCTATTGTGTCAAATGGAGTGTTCATAGGATTGCAGAATTGTGCCTCGCTTGGAGTTAATGTCTGGGGAATGTCACAGTGAGGAGATAACCAGTGCAATGTGGTAGCTACAGGTGGGGCAGGTAAAGCACTTCTGCTTCAGGAGAAGGCTAGCATGTATCCAGTAAGCTCTGACATGACTAATATGTAAATGAAAAAGCTCTCTAGAGGGGAATTGAGATTTTAAAAACTCAGGACAATTCCAAAGTAATGCTGTCTGTCATCTATACTAGCTGCAGGCGAGCATATTAAATGCATAGAAATCAATGAAGTGATAATGAAAATTAGCATGGTTTCTAGCTACAAATTATCTTCATGCTATAAAGATGTGGATTCTTTTCATCTTTCGATGAACTTTCAAAATTAAAAGCTCGCTTCCTTTGCAGGCACATACCATACTTTTTTAAATGTCTTCATCTCAACATTGAGTGTTTTCTTAAACTTCTGCTAACAGTGACCTTTCTCTCTACCTTGAGCAAAATGTAGTATAGGCGAGTGTTGTATGAACCATCTTATGTTATGCTACCAGCATGCCTACATCTTACTTGCTTTTCCAGCCCGACTCTTCCCAGCAGCATACCAGCTGGAATATGGATCTAGTCCAAGACTTGACTTACAGCAATCTCTCATAATAGGATACTTTACTAACCCTAAGCTATGCTTTGCTCTTGCTTACATAGCTTTGAAAAATTTCCCTTTCCCGATAACTTTATTTGTAGTGATTTATGATTCAGTTAGTTTTGCAAATGTCTATGGTATATTTAATCACAAGCTCACATTTGTGTTCTGCATATTTTCATGCTGATAATAGCTTTGTAATAATAAATAATGATCCTAAATTGCCAGCCGTTACATTAACATTGTATTTTAAAATGCAAGAAGTATACATTCATTGTTCTTTAGGTGAGATATTAAGGTAAATTTATAGGTGGATGTGTTACAGAATTCTGGAGTTATGTTAATTCTTTATTTCCTAAAATGTTCTAAGCTGAACCCCTTGTGCTGTGGTTGAGTTTCTCTTTAGTAGAGCTGTATATACTGCACTTCTATTGGGTCCTTTAAACCGTGCATGGGACTTCATTTTGGACTAGAAGATGACAATGTCTTTTGTTCTGATTAGCATAAGGGATCTTTTGGATAGGGGGATCAAGGAGGGGACTTTCATTAACTTACAGAACAGAGTTGGGTTTGAATTCACAGAAAGTGGGGAGATGTCTTTAACTTTTGCTTTGGAGTAGTATTGCTTAAGAACAGAGGACTGATTTTGGAGTTAATGAAATGAAAAATAAATAGAATTTGTTGCTTTGTCTCTGAATCAGTTATTTTTCAGTCATGTAATTCAAGTCTTGCACAGGGCATAAAAATAAGACTTGAATAAATAGGACTTGAAATCATAGAATCATAGGATGGTTTGGGTTCAGAGGGACCTAAAGATCATCTAGTTCCAACCCCCAAATTCTTCCAAATCTATACTACTGATGGGAAGTTATTAGAATATGGTTAATTCAGTAATAACTTCCGGACACTTAAACTAATTGGGCTGTATTTTGTCATCTGCCCTCTTACGAATTACTGACTGGCTTTACCACAGCAGCTTGGTGGTGCTGCACCTTGTCTCTCCAAAAGATCACTGACTAAGTATAGTGGCATGAAGCTCTGGAACAATTTATTAATTTCTCAGAATATTACTGACCAAAGCTGAGTTTGGGGCAGCCTTACCTTCCTTGCACCTATAGTAACTGGATGCCTTTGTTACACTCCTGTGAAACTAAATCTGTGCTGTTTTGATGTAAGTACATGAGAAGATATTCTGCCCTAAAATAGAGACAGAAGTCAGAACATTATTTCCGTTTATTTCATACTAGTATGATGGCTCATTTAAAGCATATAAAATGCTACAAGAGTAAACTTGCTTTGTTATAGTGGAGTCTCAAATACTGGCTTCTTCTGCCACATCACAGCTTTTCCTCAATATCAGCATTTAAGGCCCTGTCAGCATGTGCTGCTTGCTGCGGTGTCAGGTTTGTAGCCCCTGTTTTCACCTGTTATATAATGGCATGTAATTTTAACAGCTGAGTTTATGTAACTGTCGGGAAGTGTATGAGTGCACTGTCATTTGATTTCATTGCATTTGGTCTGAAATACTTTGAAGAGTATTTGCACACATTCTGGTTTTGTTAAACTTGTCTTATTTCAACAAACATACCTAATTTTGTGGCTTCTGAGAGATTGAAATCAAACTAAAAGGCATGAATGGGTTACAAAGAGAAAGTGGAAAAAAAAAAAAAAAGCAGATGCTGATGAGTCTGCAGATAGGTGTGTAATGGGGGGAGAGAGGAAGTACCGATGGTACCATCTGCACACACTGTCCTGCTGAAGGGAGCAGTCTGAACATGCTTCCTAAAAATGGGGAGAAGCTGATGTTATCCTTAGGTTGCTGTCAAATATCCTCGTGGGGGATTTTTAGTCTTTTGTAAACTTGCCTGACTTTGAAAAGGCAGTTTGCATTGCCTTCTGGAGGGTTCTTCTGCAGCTGCTCTTCTCTTTGGGTGCCGTGGGTCTGCCCCTTTTGCTAAGACACCGATCGTGTCCCATCCACTGCTGCAGCCCCCGACTCTCCCAAGGCAACGTCACTGCTGCACGCTGTTTCCCTGGGCCTCCCAGGACTACGTAGTGACTACCAGGTTTTGGGTTGGTTTTGTCTGCTTGCTTTAGAAGAATCTATCTTCACAGATTCAACATTTTTTAGCATTATTGAAATATTTACAGAAAGAACTATGTAAACATGGAACAAATGTGAAGTGGTGCAGTGAATTCTGCCTGTTTCTGTAGATGCAAGTGTCCTTTGCTTACCTCTAGCAGAGCTGATCAAATTGCACAGTGATCTTGAGGCCTGCCCTTGTAGCTGGTTGGGGTGTTTTATGTGAAGGTGACATAAGGGTGGTAGATTTGATCTATCCAGGCCATAAAAAAAAATCATACAGTGTCATTTGGGAAAACTATCAATAAAGCTAGAAAAGAAAAACAGATTCACAGACTATTGAATGGGCTACTTAAGAGTAAACAGTGATGTGGTGGATGGAAATGTAATAGTAGGAAGTTACTAGTGACATTTCTTGAGAATGATTCTTAGTACTAGTCTTGTTTAATGTTTTTATAAGCAATTCTGGCACAAAAAGTACGCTAAAAATGCTGCTGCTGATATTAGAGTTGGGAGGCTGAAGATATGCAGCAGAACTGGGTGTCCTTGAAGGCTACAGTAAGAGAAACAGGATAAGTTTCATCAGAAAAACAGCAGACTCGCATACTTGGAGAATAAAATATTCCTGCTGTAATTGCAAGCTTGTTAAATGAAGGGAGCTGGCAAGGGTGACCAAGATGCTGACATAATGTGCCTGTGAAAAAGGCAAATGTAATATGTGCAAACAGGCTGGATAATGGAAGAGAAGAGGGTATAAATGCTATTGTCCAAGGCACTAGTAAAAAATCCTGGATGTATAATTAGAGTAGCTCATATAGAGCAGTTCAGGCCAGAACAGGTGCAGAGAATGAATGGGGATCCTGGCCCAGAGAGGACCCACCGAGTCTGGCTTATTTAGTTTGCCAGAAGGCCAAGAGTTACCATGATTGATGTCTTGGAGTACACTAGAAGTAAATGACTCTTCCCCTTCTTTGATATTTAAGCATAAGGGCAGTATTGGTACAGGATCAAGTAAACAGGCCATTAATAAACTCAGATGGAAACTAGAGAAAGGTTGCTGACTATCTGAGTGGGGAGACTTTTCTGTTCCTTCTGCTCTTGGAAGGGAGTGCTAGATCCTAGCAGGTGTTATGGGTAGAGTTTTGTCTCCTTCCATGTTCCTTGCTTAACATTTCCTCTGTTCCTTGAGAAAGCAGGTTCAGTTCAGGAAAACCAGAAGAGTATAATGCTTCTGACATTGTTATTAACTTTGCAGTAAACTGTTCTAGGGAAAGGAAGGAGCATATGAGGTGGTCACCGCTTCTCCTTTGCTACCTACAGAGGGTCTTGTGTAAAATTGTGGGGGTATAGCAGTAACGTATGAGAACTGGTGTCCATTTCTTTGGAAACACTTCAAAACAGGATGTATATAGGGTCAATCCTTCATGTTTGAATTTTGAGAGACTCAGGAGGACTAACAAATATAACTTGCATTACTCCTCATTCCATTGATCTCTAAATGACTTTGCAGTTTTTGCTTGTGACACAATATTTATGGTCCTTTAGCTGTAGGATGATCAGTTTAGAAAGTGGTTGAAATACGTATCTGCCTAAAGGATGCTGGTGCTAATAAACTTGAAGATCATTTTGTTTCTCTGGGTTCTGATGAAAGCTGGTCAGAAACTTTTGACCGGATGAGATGACTGATTTGATAAGGCATTTTGTAGGAATATGCTTTTGCATAAGGTATGGAATTGCCAGTCAAAACAAAGGAGCCTCGTTCACAGCAAATTCTCTAGCAATTAGGGCAGTTACATGGAACTGATCTTTGACAGAAACCCCCAATAGCATGTGAATAAATGTTGAAATGGTTTAGTTTCCTCCTGAACAAAGTACATATTTTTGGGCTTCCCATCTGGCTTACAAGACATTTGGTGAATAATTTGTGTCAGTGTGGCTTTTCATGTATTGATCTAAAAATACAAGTGCTAACAACGCTTGTACTGTCAAGCCCTCTCTAGCTGCTTGCTCTTATGATTCAGTGAATGGAATTCAGAGCAGTGATCGTTTGGTGTTTGCGAATGGCTTCAGCACTATCACTTGGGAAATAATGATTTTCAAATGAGCTTATAGTTGCACTGAGCAAGGCAAACTGATAAAACTGCAGATCTGGAGAAGTTCCATAAACGGTGGATAGTTTTGACTACCCAGTTGGATCTTATGCATTATGTAGATTTGAAATAATTTAGGTGTCTGCTACAGGGGAGAAAAAATTACGCAGCGGCTTTTCAGTGATGTGTCATGCAATGTTGAAATACATGTGCTTTCACAGTACAATCACTTGTGTTAGGAAAAATAGTTTCAGAAGTAGGCTATTAATTTGCAAACATTTGTTTTGGGCTAGTATTTGATTACTGCAAGATGAGTTGAAAATGTGTAACAATTTTTAAAGCACCTTGTCTGAGAGAATTTGCCATCTTCCTTCTCTTCTGGCTTTAAAAGACATGTGGTTGTTGATAGCCACAGATTGTGTGCATAATAAAGATGGCACAGCCATATAATATTTGGCTCATTGAAGGAGGCAAATTGCTTTGACTTCCCTTCGTTTGCAATAAATGCAATCTTTAGTTATCACTTTCAAATGACAAACCCGTGCAATTAGCGCGTATGAATTTGGGCACATAATGTTAACAGCACTAGTACTTAAAAGTAATCCTAATTCTTGAACTGCTTCTCTTCTTAGTGATAGAATTGAGGGACTAAAGTAGCTATGCAAGCTTAATTTTAAATTGGAGGGGGTGGTAGCTTTTTGCAGTATCTAATAACATGTTTGTGTAAACTGCTTTGCTTATTTTCACATATGTTCTGTCTCGTGTTGAAGCCAAACCTAGGTTTGTTAATGTCACAGTAGGTGGCACACAGGTGTCATTTGCAAAACGTAGGGGTTCTAAGTGGCCACTGTGATTAAAGACTATTCCGTGTAAATTAAATACATAACTCTCCCTCTTCAAGTTACTTAAATGTGTTAGTACTTTACCCAAAAAGAAAAGACATGGAAAATCCTAATATTAAATAAATTTTTTAAAATGTTAAGTACACAGATTCCCTGGACCTGCTGTTCCTTGTTCTCTGCCCCCTGAACACAGTCATTTTCTGCATAAGTAAATTCTGGAATGTTTGTGATTCATTTATTTTTTTTTTGTTTGTTTTTTGTTTTTTGAATGGAGAGAAATGCATTTCTTGCATACCTTTCAGAGGCAAAGTTTATATAGGATTTAACTATAAACTTCAGCTACAAATTGGTAACAAACTTTCAGCAACTTATTTTTGGAAGAGAAATACTTGTACTTGATAAAACAAATACCATGAGGCTCTTGAACTTTGTAGAGGAAATTTCCATCCTGAGACTTAAACATCAAGGTTTAAATTGTTTGACTTTGCCTCTGTAGCTTTTCTCAGGAACCGTCAGCAGTGCTGTGTGTGCAGCTAATCAAAATGCCAGCTTGTTACTTCTGCCCCAAGGATAGAGGAAGGAAGAAAGATGCTTTCTTTGAGAATTTTTCCCTCTGTCCCAAAAGATACGTAAATTATCTTATTTACTGTAGATTACTATTATTGTCTTGCCATAGTTGTGTATGGAATATTGTACAGTGATCAACATTTCCAAAATTCTCACAAAAACCTAGATAGACTGAAGAAGTCTGTTCATCTTCTAAAATTTAGTTTTAAAGTGAGCTTCCTGATCCCAGCTGCTGCTTTGGTCAAAACGGACATACAGCTTGAAACCATCTTACTGTTTGTATTTCTCAAACGTGGTAACTATATCATCAGTGCATGACTATGCATCAGAGCAATGTTAACATAATGTGTTTTGGGGTTTTTCTTTCAGTGATGCTACAGCCTTTTGACTATGACCCTAATGAGAAAAGTAAACACAAGTTTATGGTTCAATCTATGTTTGCTCCAGCTGATACTTCAGATATGGAAGCAGTAGTAAGTATTGAAATGAATTAAAACAGATTTCTTTCTGATTGTATAATTTTATAAGACCATTTACTGTGTTACTTAAGGGCTGTTGTCAAACCACACTGGAATGATCCTTGCAAGCTTTGCCAGATTTCCATCTCTGCGTGTCAAGGTGTCTTCTGTTTATTTTGAGCCCCAGGAATCTTGCACTGAAAGACACAGTTGTGGTTGCTTCTTTAGGATGCTGCTGTCAGTAATGGGATACCAATCCATGAAACAAATGTTAAGTAGTTGTAATCTTTGATTTACAAGTACTGTATTTTTCTGTTGTGGTTTAGGTAAATGAAAGTCCCTCACAGATTTTGTCCTGTGGTTTACAAATGAGAGTAACAGAAGCATGTAGTTGTTGAAGCAAGAAGGACAAAAGACATAAAAATAAGATATCAGGCTACATTAAGATGTGAAAAGGACCAAACCAGTATATCAACTGGTGGCTTTCCTATACATCAAGATTTGCTACTGCAAGAAAGCACAAGGAAGCTTTCTGTAGTCCAGCTCTTGTTAGGTTGGGAGAATACTCAGTAACTATTGAGCACCCAATAAAAAATTTAAAAAGGCAATTACTCTAAAGTATGGGGCTTGTGTGTGTTTGTATGTATGCGTATTACTTAGAAACAAAAAAAACAACCCCAAAAAACTCCGAGTACCTATCATGGCTTTTTTACAGTAGTCTTTACAATATGGATCTTCTGAATAGCTTTTTAAATCTGTGGCATTCTGCAGGGTTAAGAATTTCCCTTCTGAAAGAGATTTGTGGAACTGTATTTGTTTAATGGCCTCAAAGTAAGATCCAGTGGGAGGAACACCAATAGTAATAAAATGTCTGCATCACTAGAAAGATAAGCCAGTCTGCCTTCCTTTCTAATTCTTTAATTTTTATGAGTAACTTTGTACCACAAAAAATGTTATTCTGCTATCAAAGAATGTTTTTTAGAGCCTAGATGGCCCTTTCAGTTTTCCAAAGCTCTCCAGACCAATGTGATTTCTTTTCCTATAACACTTGATCGGTTCTCAGTTTTTGTTACCACACTCCAAATCTCTTCCTATTCTGGATAAACAGGTGAGACAAATTACTGGAGTACTATAAAGCTTTCAACACTTCACAGGCAGCCAGCAAGCTCGAAATAGAATACTGACTTCAACCACAGAAGAGCTGAAGTACAATTCAGCTATTTAGGATGAGTCAAATACTTCTTCAGGTTGCACAGGGCTTAGCCATAATTTGTCAACTGCTTGAGATACGCTGAGCAATACCATGCTACCAGAAGTATGGTCATGGTGAAGAGAACCATGTGAGAACTCTAGGACTTAAATGTGGACACGTCTTGCAGTATATCACTACCATAAATCAGTCTTTTCAGTTCAGGGTTACCACTGGCATCGAGCAAATATTTGTAACTGTTAATCCCTATTAAAGATATTGGAAGGAAACTTTTTTATGGCAGACTCCCTAGTTGGAGAGAGAGAGAAAGATGAGAGGGGATAGCTGAGAAAGATGAGAGGGGAAGCTATCCCTTTCTGTATGTAGCACATCTGTTATTGTTTATACATTGATGCTGAAAAACAAGGAGGTGGAAAATGAGGGGGAAAAACAGTCCTGTAGTTTATACTAGTCAGGAAGAAAACCTCATGTGAAATCTGAAAAGCTTGAATAGGATCTCCACTGCATAAAGACTTCAGAATTAACATTGTTACTCATTTGGGTTTTTGTTACTTCTCCCTTTATTTGAATGCACCTTTTTTTTTTTTTTTTTATCAGGACCATGGCTCCCCCTATCTCTACTAATTACTCTAACACAATTCCCAGTTCTCTCATAAATTACCTGTGTAAATTTCAGATTATTTAGAATTATGTTCTTCATAGTACCTTGTTCTTCTTTGATACCACTCAGTTACGTATTTGGTTTCATTTTTCATCATGTATGTGATTAACCATAACATGATAAACACCTGTGGGGTTTTTCCTGAGTAAGATGATGTGATTTGTTTACATACTACACTGCCTTTTCCATCTTCCTTATTACACTAATATGTTTAATATTAAATTATTCCAGTGGAAAGAAGCAAAACCAGAAGAACTCATGGATTCAAAACTTAGGTGTGTGTTTGAGCTACCAGCGGAAAATGATAAGCCTGTGAGTATTTTGAGATGTATATTGAGTGTTTTAACTTAATACCATCATAAATCATGTAAAATGGCATGTTTATACAGACAGCTATGCGAGCAAAAGACAGAGCCCTCTGTTTCACTGCCTGGATGGCATCACCCTTTGAAAACACAATATAAACTATTTAAGATCCTAGAGATGCTTAATGTACCTAGTAGTTAATTTGAACAATGTAAGTGCAACACAGGCCCAAAGAAGTCTTTGAGTTGACCTGCTTTCATTTAGTGAAGGATCACAGGATAAAGAATATTTTTAAAAAATTTGAAAAATGGTGATGGTCACAAAGCTCAGAGTTTATACTGAAGCAGTTAAACCAGTCAGCAATACAAGTGTTCAGTGCTCCCCTTTGCTTCCTTGATAAAACACTGATTTTAGCAAGTAAATTGATAGAAAGCTAGTAAGGAAGACACAAATGCAGTTAGGGGTTATATTGCAATTATCAGCTATAATACTGTGGGATCCTTTTTTGTTAGGCTAACGAGCGCATTCATTTCTAGTGGAAGTATGTAGTGTCAAATGTAGAACTGACAGTGGATTGAATAAACTGAAAAATGTTTCCTAGTATGCAGGCACTGGAGGCACAATTCTGCCTTGCACTGGACAGCTTGTAATTATGGTTATGTATTGTTATAATGTCACTGTTGTAGTCTCACTATGTCTTTCTACGCGCTTCAGACAGCAAGCATTTCCTTTAAAAGTAGGTGCTTTTGTTTGAGGCCAGGGTACTTTCTGTGTTTCCAGTTTAAAGGTGTGATGAGAGGAAGGAAGAAATCTGAATTAAATGAAACCTAACAGCTATTGTTTAGTCGTAACTTTTTCCATAATCCCTAAAATGCATTAGGGCAAAACAAAGCACAAGTAGTAACAAGATCCTGTTGCTTTATGCATATAAACAAAATCTTCATGTTAAGACTTTGTTGGCAGTTTGGGTGGGGAGAGAGTGGTTTGTTTTTTATGAGAGCCAGGCCCTTTGCATGCTAAAGTGCAGAGCATGAAGAGGATCCAAAGTCAGGAAAGCGAGGAGGGTTTGAGGTCTGCAGCTAGTTTCCTAACTTGGGTTGCAAGTTCCTCCATCACCACAGAAGTGCAGAAAGATGGAGAGGTGATAGCCAGCTGTGGGGAGTGAGGAGAGAGGGAACTGCAGCAGAGCAGGTGGGTAATTCTGGACAATACCCCGGTTCCTGGAGTAGCAGCTCGTGTTGTGCTTGGGGAGGGAAAGGTGAGGAGAGCACTAATACTCCATAAGCAGACTGTGAGTAAATAAGTTCCCATTCATGTTGGGGAACACGGCCTAAGGATATTTCCTTGTCTATGTATGCAAGGACTGAAAAGTCGAGGTCATTCTGTCTGCAGTTACTGCTGCTGATCTGATTGATGTTTTCTGTGAAACAGAAAGGAGAATTAAAGGTTACAGGAAAAAAAAAAAGTTGTTTATTTCTTTTGATACAGGCGTGTTTCAGGTGTGCACAGACAATTTTACCTGATTCTCCTACATATCAGGTGTGTGGTGTTAATACCTAACCAAAAGTCGCTCTATCCTTTTTTAACAGCATGACATAGAAATAAATAAAATTGTATCCACAACTGCAACAAAGACAGATTCCTCTGTAATGTCTAAATCAATAAGTTCTTCTTTGGATGACACTGAAGTTAAGAAAGTAATGGAAGACTATAAGAGACTTCAAGTAGAAGTTCAGAGGTTACGGGAGGAGAATAAACAGTTTAAGGTAAAGATAATATTTTTGCAGATTTACCCCTTTCCTGAAAAAGGAGCTTCCAACTTAAGGGTTCCACTACCTGACCTTGGCACAATATTTTTATATTGTCTATAAATTAAAAGATAATTTAGGTTTCTCTCCATAAACTGAGAAAAAGTGATGAAATCAATGCTTCCTTTGAAAGGAGTGTACAAGTCGTGCAGCCAGAGAAACTGATTGGATAGCAACCCAAAGTAATGAACTCCCTCTCTTTGTTTCTTTTCCCACCTAATTCTCTTAGTCTGAATTAAGCATTCAGTGTCGGATTTGGCCCTGTTCTCCCAAACTGATGGGAGCAGGAGGGCAATGTTGTGAAAATTCTGAGGGTTTTAGTGATTGCACCTTTAATACGCAGTTGAAATGACCAAAATAAGACAGATAGTAGGAAATACGCTTCCTGTCATATTCACCACATCACTGTGAAATCAAGTAATTGAGAAGCCTTTGTCACCCTGCTGAAAAACTCTTTCTGCAATAGTTTTATTTGTTGTACATGTTTAGTTTCACGGCTAACAGCGCCAATGAAAATTTTGAATTTGTGACTATTGAAGCCCAGCAAAAGGAACTCTTTTCTATCAGCTCTGATGCTGCTTGGCTGGCTGATGCACAAAGAAATTCTTTAAACGTTTGTAAACCAGTTTTGTTTTGCCTATAGAAATAACATAATTATACAGCTGAGATACAACCTTAACTTCTCTGTGTGTTCTTGCTTTGCCAGCATCTTACAATACTATAAGTATTACATGATTTTATTTTTTTGCAAATCAGTCTTGAATAAACATGCTACAGGAGATACCTGTAATTGAGATAATGTCTCACAGTAACATCTTGAAATGGTGAGCTGTTTGTTCCCTTTGTGGAGTGTTAGAAACATCTGTAAACCTCAGAAAACAATGTTAAGCTACTGCCAGCCACCAGGTGCTGTATGTGTCAGGCTAGAGTCACTGTCAAAAGGAAGTCAAAATATTGAAGATGTGTTGTTTCTAGCAATAAAATTGCTATATGGGTAAACAACCTTTTATTGTTTACAAGTCACTTGTCCCCGTCTAGACTTATAACAGTAGTGAGGTATCAGGTAGACTGTGTCTTTAATAAATAATTTTTTTAAAAAGTTTTCCTCCAGAACCTTAAGTGCCCCTTTAAATTCAAAAGTGAGAACACTGACATACACTGAGCCTTTTGAATTTCACTTAACTGACAATTTTTAAGGCTGCAGTGATTTTTATTACAATTTTATTTCTTGAGTATTTTTTTATGTTTGGAAGGGAGGCTTTTGCTTCAGTATCTTATGCTTTTGCACTATAATACTGTATTACATAAAAAAGTCTAACATTGTTGCTTCAGCTGTGTACAAGTTAGGTCCCAGAAGGCTCACTTTACCACCTCCTAAAGTGCTGTGTGTGTGTGTGGAATGGAGTGTGCTAACACACAGTTGTGCTGCACGATAGGTTAGATCAAGATGTGGGGAACATTGTTTCCACTTGAAATTATAATATCTGGTGTTATGATGTTGTTTTATCTGTTGTCTCATACATCTTTGAATCGAGAGCTGTCAAACTCATACCAAGAAAATGTCCTAATTATTACCATTAGTTTCATGTCAAATTGTCAGCATTAATATGATAGAGGAAATCGATTTCCCTTCAAATGCTGATGAAATTTGCTCGTGACATCTAACTAGGGGAATGATGAGTATAACTGCCTTCAGGTTGCATGTTTTTCACAACCCTTCTTAGTTATATTGAAAAGCGTTTTCCCCAACAGCACTGTATTTGCTTACAGAGCAAGAAAAGCATCTTCGTGCCATTCCCTCTGTCAGTGTTTTTCAACTTCTGGAGCTTTCTCCAGACTTTGGACAAGTGTTCTTGCAGGCTTTCTCATTGCTTCCCCTGTTGTCTTAGTCAACAGGAGAAAACTTTCAAGAGCATGTAGCTCTTGCTCTGCTAATCAAGTAGATACAGAATCCTTCTACCTCACCACCCTTTCCTTCTCAGGATTATCTAGGAAATAGAGCTCTAAATTAGCTGTAAATTAGTTTTCACCTATTTTATTATGCCCACCTGAAATAAATATTGTAAGGATGAATGTTTAAAGCTTTTTTGTCAGTGGAAATGATCAGTATATCTTCCTTTAGGAAGAAGATGGACTGCGGATGAGGAAGGCACCCCAGACAAACAACCCAATATCTGCTTCTGCAGCTGTTGTCAAGGACGAAGGGCTCAGCTCCAGACTACTTGCTTTGGTGGTTTTGTTCTTTGTCTTTGGTGTAATTATAGGAAAAATAGCCTTGTAGAGGCAGCATGCTGGAAATTGTAAATTGGTTTGATGGTTCTGCCATATCATTGGATTAAATTTATTCATAACAATGTTAAAAAAAAAAAAAAAATGTATGACATCTCACAGGTCTTGCCTTTAAATTACCCCTGCACAAATACTATGTAACATAATCTAGAAAGTTTAAAATGTATGAGTGAATAAATGAAAGAGAATATGCTTCAGTGATGGAGAGGGGGAGAAAATCATGATTTAACACTACAATGGAATATTGTATATGTCATTTTAAACATTCTTAGACCCTGGTACATGTTGCTGGATTACCTTTTTAAAAAAAAAAAGAAAAAAAAAAAGGAAAAACAGAAAAAACTATTCCTCCACTGCTGGAGCTGGCCCTATTGGATGTTTGGAGCTGGGTTAGGCAGGAGGTGTTGATAACCTGTAAAATACGTTAATCCACCATTCTGCTCATAAATTTAACAGTTTCTGTCAGTGTCTTCAACTCTGTGCAAGTTATCAATTTCTTGGCACTTAAATGAATAGTGAGAAGCCGAAAAGAATTGTATGTGGCAATGCTGAATGTGCTAGGCATCGTTAAGAGGCACATATTGACTGGTATGATGCTCATTTGGAATAAAGGTCAATGCCTTGTTCTCATAAAGGGACCAAGCTACATTGCTGTTGGTTCATTTAGTTGAATTAAAATGTTATTCAGAGATGTTTAATGCATATTTAACTTATTTAATGTATTTCATCTCATGTTTCCTTATTGTCATGAAATTGACTAATACTATATGGTATGAAAAGGCACCTGTTTAAAGCCAGTGACTAAAACTAAAAATTTGCTGCTGTAGTGATGCGAGATTCTTCTGCCTCCTGGTGTTTTGGGCACTACACAATTGTTGGGAGTTTTGATCATCTGAGCATTGGAGAAACAGTGGTCAGGAAACTGTTTTTGTATGTAAATAAGTCTATTTAGGGGAAAAAATATTAGTAGTAAACTAGTCCTATGCCGTAAAAGACCAATCCTGTTTGACTATGTAGCATCTTAAAAAAAAAAAAAAAGAAGAAAAAAAAAAAAAAAAGAAAAGAAAAATTAAATAAAGCCCCCAAATTAATGTTTCCTTTGTTACTTTTGTCATGTTCTCACAGTTTTAGAGCGAGGAGGAAACAATATTCTCTGTCAACTTTGTTTATGGCATAAGGAAACTTGCAGCCTTGTTTCAAGATGAATTTTTTTTTTCCAGCCTAGTTTTAAAATCGATCCAAACAACCCCATCATGAGCCTGATATACGTAAGTGTTGTTCAGAGTAACCATGCTGACTGCTGAGGTACAAGGTAACTTCCTATTTTTCAGTTTAGTTGGGTTCAGTAGTTGAGATGCTTGATACCATGTTGAAAGTAAGGTTAAGGTAATTTTCTTTCTGTGCATATTTTTAGTACAAAATACATAAACTCAGTGTGTTTCAACATGTTGAATTTCAGTAGATGAAATAGCTTTTGAGCAAGTAAATTCCTGTATTCTTGGATGGTAGGTCCAAAAGCCCTTGGTGACAAAAGTTTTTGTAGCACCTTTCAGGATTAAGATACCTATTCTACGTGACTTCTTTCATTCCTTTCTTATTCCTGTGATTTTTTGAGAAAGCTGTTTGGGCTGCAGCCTGTCTGCTACACTCGTTGACCTTTATATTTGTTCCACTTGTGTCTCAAGGGTTTCCTGCTTTGCAAGTACAAATAAGTGGAAATTTTACGTGAGGTTTAATAAGAAAATTGAGGGAAAAAAATCTGAACTGGTGTGTTCAGCTTATGAACGCAACTCTGGAAGTACCTCTTAAAGATTCAACAGAAATGAGAGGTGTATCTTTAGCATTTTAAAGTGCTACTGCCTTGTCTGCTCAGAGTGGTAGTGGGAAAGCTATTGAGGTATGCCTGTAAAAGGCACAGAAGATGGGAGATGAGCTGGAAAGAATGAAGCAGTGAGTTCAGTGTGACAAATTGGGCAGAGCCGATCAAGAAAAAGATACTTTCTGGGCAGTAGAAGCTAATGAAAACTTCTACATGAAACATTTTAAAAGAATCTTTTCAGAAAGACAAGGTTGTAACTGATTTTGCAAAATTCATTATATTGGCTTTGAAGAATATATTTGAGAAAACCTTTACTAAAGGGAGACTGAGCTGTGCAGTATGGGTTGGTTTTGGTTTTTTTGAGAGGCTGTAAATATCTTGATCTTTTGAGATTTCTTTTTTTTTTTTTTTTTTTTGAGACCCCTTTGTTTGGCTGAAAAACAGCCTCAAAAAAATGTAACAACAAAAAATAAATAAAATCCCTGTCTTTGCAGAGGAAAGGGAGAGGATTGAAGCTTTAAACTGGTCTCTTGTCAGTATATCTGCAGTAATGTTCCAGGCAAATTTTACACACACTGTTAGCTACCACAGTTGACTTTGCTGGCACAGGCAGCTCCGAGATGAAGGGGAAAGCTGGCAGAATGTCTGTCCTCCATCCAGTGTTCAGTAGTCACTTCTTAGTGATCTGTGATAACTTTAAATCATTGTGAGCAAAGTTATTCCTGTTGTTTCCATGCTAGGATTATAAAGAGGTCCCAGAAAACACTCATGCTTTGCTAGATGTCTTACAAACGCTTAATCAAGGAGACCAACAAACAGAGGACCTTAGTTAGTTAAGGATCTGTTGGTAACAACTGTAACCTGCAGTTGGGGCTGACCCACACCATCAGTCCTAAAAAAGGCTGTAAATTAACTGCTTATATTTTGAAACTTAACAAAATTTTGAGGTCTTTCCTAACCATTTCTGACTACAGCCTGAATAGACAGCAGCACTGAATTATCTGGGTAGTGCTTTGCTTTTGCTGAGCTTAAAATAAAATGACTGATCAGTTGGATTCCTTATTACCTGTATTTTCGACCAGACCCTTCTTTCATATGCAGTAAAAAGAAATATAAGGATGTTTTTTCTTCCAAGGTTCCTAAAAGGCCAGTCTGTAGATACATGGCAAAAATATATTGGATGGATGTTCTTAAGCCACCTGGATCTTTTGTAAATTGTTCCTTACATGATGACACCAGAGAATGTTTTCATGAAGTATTCATAGAAAGCGAGTTATTCTGGAGGGCATTGTATATCTTAGGTAGTTATGCATGAAACATAGAGTTTCTAAATACGATTATTATCTGGTGTCCTCACACAACATCAGATATTAGAAAACTGTAATTGATACATGATAGTAGAAATCAAGTTATTACTTAATCTAATTATTGTCCTGACTGTTATTTTAAGATGCCCACTTGCATATACACTTACTGTTAATTTTTGTAAGAGCCAGTAGAGGCTGCTTAGGTAGTCTTTTGTGGAGCTTTACACTCCTCTCTGCACTTTTTGGACAAATTTGGCATAAATAGATACCTAAAATGTCTTGAAGACTAGTACTGGGAAATGAATGGAAAATGGTTTCTACTATTTTCATGTAGCTATCCACATCTTAAAGCAAGTATTCCATGCTTGAATGATCATAACTGTTGCTCTGCATTGGCAGTTGTCAGCTGTGAATGCACAACTGGAACAATTGCATATGCAAGCTAGGGACCCAGTTTCTCGTTACTGTGGAATAGCCTTAGGGATTGAAGAGCAAGATAATACCATGTGTGTCATGTTGAGAGGGATTGATGTACCATAATGTAATTTTCTAAAAATACAGGATTGTAATAGCTTAATGGTGGTATTCCTTGTTACTTTTTTTGTCCTGAAATGCTGTTAGTGAGATAAAGTTGAAACCTCACTTTGCAAATCGCTAGTTTCTTCTCACCAATAAACTATAAAGGGTTTCTATTCACTGCACATGGAAACTTACAGTTCTTATTATAATCCTGACTTAGCAGTCAGCATATTTACATAGTGGTATGCACACAAAAATGGATTGTTATTGTCTTAAGATACTTGGTGTTGCAGCTGCCTAATGAAAGAAAACTGTCTTTCCTTTTCTTCAGAAAATGTGTATGACACTCCTCTTAATTGGAACACTTCCATAATTATCAGACACAGTAGTGACTAAGTGTAGTATTCGGAGTTTTTGAAACTATACTTTTCTTGCTCTACATGATGTCCTGAAATGCCATATCCTGAGTTCTGTTTTCTATATAAAGTAACTGAGAAAAAAACACAACCAAAAATCCCTCTGTTTGAAATTAAAGAACATGTAAAACAAGCACTCTGAATTTCATGTTTGTTGTGGCTGCGTTACAGCTGCAATAGTACTTCACAGCAGTACTAGAGCAGCTTGGGGTTGAAGAGCCCCTTTTGCATTGTTTGAAAATAGGTTAGCATCCCTTACTCAAATCTTCAAGTGAGCAAGTTCGGAAGGGACAGATAGGTGGTGTGTGAATTGCAGGGTATATATTGGAGAATATTTTTTTTTTTTTTTTTGAGTCAGAAACATTAAAAAGAATAAAGTAATCTGTACAGGAGTAAAGCTAGTTCAGTATCGTGTGTGGAAGTTACTATTCTTCATAATCAGATATATGTCTACAGATCTAATTCGCTAAGTAGAAAATATTTGTATAAACCAATGTTTAGTCAGTTTAGAAAGAAAAGCAACTACTGAGCAAGGCTGCGTGTTCATATAGTGAAACCTAGCAGTTCTCTAGCTGTACTTCATTAAAAGCTGACAATGGGACACAATGCTAGTATAAATCATCCGTTACAGTTAGATAAATAGTGGGATTTATTGTTGAAGCAGGGCAATGCTGATCCTTTGACCACGTCCAATTAAGATTTCTTTATATTATGCTGACAGCTTCGTGTATACTGAATCGCTTTGTCTAATGGGTGTCAGTGCAAAAGTGACATTACTCATTGTGCTGTTATTAACTTTTATTTTGATTAGGTTTAGAGGACAAAGTAATTGTGTGTTTCCACTACTCAAATCTGCTTGACTATAAAATTTGTTTGTTTTATTAATGGGTTGATTTTTTTTTTACCGGTTAAATGTAGATTATTTTTTAAAATAACACAAGTAAGAGCCAGGCAGAAATCTCTTATATGTAATACTTTAATAAGCACGCACTTGCACACTTCCAGAATAACTGTATACCTGTCATTTACTCTGCTGTTTCCTGTGGCTTCGTTTCCTTTTACAGAACTGCTTTCACAATTGTACTTTGAAGAGTAAAACTTCTGAAAACTTTACTAAACTTCCATGTAGATCTTTTTGCCTTCCAGTCCAGGCCGAAGTTTGTCGTGGAGCTTCTGCGTGAGTGAAAGTACAAAAATGAACATAGAGTCTGTGAGCACAGAAACAAAGCTGCTTTTCCTTGAAGCAAACTTGAACTTTGGATCTTTTCTCTTATGATCTGTCATTAGAAAATGGCCTTTTCCAGATGGCAGAATAAAAGAAGTTAAGAAAACAAATGAATTAAGAAGAATTAATTGAAGCCGCATATTACAAGTTGACATTATACATCTGGCATTTCTGTTTATGTTTCTGCATCAGTACATTTCATTCTTATTTAATAAGTTCCTAATTTTGTGGGGTTTTTTTTTTCCAAGATTTTGAAGTGCCTATGAAGAACTGAGGAATAGCCCATAGTAAAGTATTGTTTCCAGCTTAGCTGTACTTCATTTTTTTTAATCAAATCTTTTTCTTCAGTGGATAAACTCACAAGATTAGAAAAGCCTCTTGAACTCCCTCATGTTTGAGTTGGCAAGATTCCCACACACAATTATCGACACACAACTACTTTTAAAAGACCTTTATTAAGGCTGTACAAAGTCAAGCACTCAGAAGTTAGGAAATGGCAAAACCAAGTCTGTGCACTGTTAGTTTGGCCACTTTTTGTGAGTACGTTGCAGTATCTGATCAAGCCTTCAGTAGAGAGTCAGAAAGTGAGCAAAGGCTGCCCTGAAGTTGTCTAAAACTTCCCACCTTTGTGTGCCTGACCTTACAGAAACTTAAGTTCTCTTAAGATGTGTATAATTAGGTTTTTTAAAGTTGAACTTTACAAATGGCATCGTGGTATTAGGTGCAACCTGCATGTGTGTCAGCATTGAATCCTCTTCCTCTGCATATGGACACCCGTTCTTGACATAAGCATCCAATGTGGGGAGTAACTGAGCTGAAGCAGCAATTTTTGTTTTCACATTTCACTGGGAGGCCACAGAGAAGTGTGATTGGAGCCAGGAATTTTTGCTTCAGTTCTGAGCCCAAAAGAGTGTTCTGTGAAGGCTGCAGACTCTCCTGCCCAATTTATTTTCTGATCTATTCTGCCTGAGCTGTCAAATCTTGCTCTGTTCCCTCCCCCAGCCCTTTGGTTCAATCCAAGTCATCCTCGTTCCTTCACTGTTCCTTGGCAAAGAAACCAATGTTCAGCTGAGCATCTTTAAATGTTTCTTCTTCTCTGCTGCCTGTTTATTTTCCACGTCAGTCTCTTCCCCTCGCCCTTCCAGTCTTGCTCTTCCCCCACTGCCTGTCCCAGACTTTGGGCCCACGGGAGCTCCCTTGCAGAGCGTTCCCTGACAGATGTCTGCTCTGGTCCCGGGGGCCTTTTCCTGTCCCGGGTAACAACTCACCTTTCTCCTTCCTCTTCGATCAAATTTGTTCCTCCTTTTTCTTTGCTCTATGTAGAGTTTGGAGCAGTGAGTCATGTCAACCATCTCCTTCCTGTCTGCAGCTTTTCTTCTGCTGTTCGATGCAGCATATTTATTTATAGTAAATAACAGGCTTTTATATTCAGTACGGGTTGTTTATCAAAAGAACTAGCTCAATGCTGTTCATATATCCTAGTGTTTTACAACTTTTTTGTGTGTTGTCAGTTTTAAGAATTGTTTGGGAAATCTAGAATGCAAAATACATTCTAAGCTATTTTAAGCAGGGGAACATGAAGATGACTGATTGGAAAAATAAGTTACTTCTAATTGAGCTGTGAAGAGATCAGACCCATGACTGTGTCCAGCAAACCCAGCTCATGCTTTAAATTTTTTCTGCCTGCTCGAGAAGCAAAAAATTGCAAAGGCAACTTGTCTGAGTATCTTATGATATTAAAGAAGGTACAAAAGACTTCATGCTCAGACTTAGTGCAGGAAGCTAGTAAACGTATTCAGGGTGTTTGCAATTTATTTTATTTTTCTCCGCTTTCTGGAGTGGTTAAAAAACGATTAAACTTTTGGAAAGTATTATATAGTAAGTGAATGGGGAAGAGTTTTCCAAGACACATGTGCCTGTTGCCATTGACTTTCAGCTGGTAATAACCTGCCAGCTCATGTTCACTTGCTTTTTCTTCACAGGTACAATACAAAAGTACATATTTATTTCACAATTGAAAGGAATCCAGTAGTTGGGACTAATGTTCATCATCTGTGTCCTAGACCTGTTTTCCTAATGCGGTGTTAGACATGAAACATAAGGTTATTTCCTTTTTTGTCTTATGTCAGATAAAGATAAATGGATTGCAGAACTAGAAGCTGGAATCCTGATTACATTCAAGCTAGGCATACAGCCATGCAAACTGCTAATAAATGTAATTGCTGTTTCAAAAGGGCATAGCTGAGCAAATTTCTTATCAAATCTGGTAGTGAAGAAGAAATTAGATAGAAAAGTGAATCAGAATTGGCAGTTTTTTAAGTGAAAGGTATTAAATGGCCAAAAACACAGTAATTTTTCAATCGAGAAGGGGGACAACTTTGGCTAACTGCCCATCCCGTTTCAGTGATGAAATGAAGGGAAAAATTAGATGGAAAGTAATATAAAACAAATAAGAAAAAGGGAATCAGACAGCAGTCAACTCAAAATGAGAGTTATGAAGTGTAGAAAATTAATAAGGAAAGCAATAGCCAAAGGAAAAGGAAAATGTACAGGTTGGAGTGCTTGGAGAGGGTGATAAAGAGCAGAAGTTCAGAGGAAATGTTTGTGGTAGGATAAGGACTGTTACTAGATGCAGGTGGTAAAACTGCGAGTGATGATGTAAGAGAAGTGGAAAGGTGATGTCATTCATTAGCAATGCTTAATATTAAAAATTAACATTTTTAAATTCAGTAGGTCTAGAAACTGTGTAGGAGTGTTTCTAAGGGAGGTGCCTGGGGCAGCCTCTGACCTGCTGCTGAGAAGGGTGGCAGAGGGCCGGGTGAGCCTGGTGATGTGGCGAGCTGACACCTGGGGGAAGGGATGCAAAGGGAGATGAATGTTAACGAAGGAGCGTAATGGAAGTCATTTCATTCTGTCTTGTTTTTTAGTTTTCTTTGGGATTAGAGTGAACTGAGTAGATCTAGGCCCCTGCAAAGCTTGGTGTTTTCTGAGAGTCACACATTTCAGAAGTGGTCGTTCAAAGAGAACCAAAATGAAAAGGGGGATGCTCAGAGAAGGGTTCTGCTGGGACCCGATAGGGTGCAGTGGTTCCAGATCACTGCTGAAAATAGGTACAGAATCACTACTGCTAAAGTGGTAACATGACAAAAATACCCATACCTAGGACCAAAGTAAGAGCTCCACGTGTTCCCAGTGCAGTCCCAGGGTAAAAGCCTAGTGAGTAAGAACGTGTTCTTGGTTTTAATTACCGTTAGCAGTAAGTGATTATACTTCAGTATGTCTCAGCTGTGAGAGTTGGGAATTTGGGATGCAGTTTGGATATTTACATTTTAAAAGAGAAGCTGAGTAATTGGAATGGATGGAAAAAAAGATTCAGAAATTACTGGTGGAGTGTGAAAATGCCTTAGAGAAGGTGAGAGAAAACTCAGTTCGCTGAGTTTATCTACCAAAATTGAGAATGTCTTGATTACAGTGCACAAGTACCTTCACAGGGAGAAAATACTGAACACTGCAGCTCTCAGATCTTAAAGAGAGTGACCCACCAAGAATCACTGACTGGCAATCGAAGCCAAGCAAATTCAAATTGGAAAAAGGCACAAATTCTTGAGAGAGAATAACTTGTGTAATTTAGGAATGTTTCTCCAAAAACTGTGAACAGAACAATAAAAGTTATGATATTTATGCAAATAGTTTTTTTCATGACTTTTCTTTCAGAAGTATACTTAAGGTGGAGGGGGAGGGAAACAAAGCACAAAGAGGCTCCTGACTGATGAGGGTTTCCTAGGGAGGTTCAGCCAGCACAGCCCGTCCGTCGAGCAGAGCTGGGGAGCTGTGTCAAAGCCTCCAGTGCTGCAGCTGAGCTGCTACGGGAGGAGGCGGGCGCTTTCTGGAGTGCTCCTTGCATGCGTTGCAGAAGTATGGGATGTTGTCTTTTAACCCGTTATGTCATGTTAACCCCATCACCACCTCGAAAGGATCTCTGGTCACTGAGGAGTTTTTACACTATGCGGTATCGCAACACTTGCTAAGTTTAATACGTTTCCATACTATGTAAATGAAAAAAAAAAAAAAGTATCTGCACACAAATCTCATTCTTGGGGGTAAATGTAGGGCAGGAATTCCCTCCCCCTTCCTCCACCCACCCTCCAAAGACAGCACAAGGCTTTTCCCAGTCCTTGCCATGGACACCTCTGGGTCCCGCAAAAATGTGCAGCTTTGCCGCTTTGAGCCACGGGCTCTTCTCAGCTGCCCTGTGTGACCGCTCTAGCAGGAGATGGGAAACTGCTCTGCTGACAAAAACGTTCTGCCACGTGTAGGGTTTACATGGGGTGCAGCTGTGCCACCCCAGACCTGCCCTGATCCACAGATCACAACTGGGACATCCCAAAGGAGACGTCACGTTCTCCAAGATGCACTTCCCGTTCTTCAAACGTTTGCCCATGGATCTCCACGCAGTAGCAGGCAACAAAACACATCCACCCTTAGAAACAGGGAGGTATTTTGCCTGCTGAGCTAAACCCTGGAGAAGGCTCCTTCTCCACTGACTGCAGAAGGAAAGGAAGGTGATGAAGCCAAGCTTGGCCTTTTTGTGTATCATCTTAAAAGTGTAACTGTTTATGTGTGTGATTAATATTTGATCATGCCTGCAACATGTGAACATGCTGACAACATTTATGTCACAATTGTATGCATTTAATAAGCATCTCGCTTGAATTATTAATGTACAGATCCCCCAAAAGTATTTTTATGTTATAAAACCCATAATTTATTTAAGTACAAGCTGCAAGTTCGTAAATACAGCATTAAGAAGGTAGCTATTGCATAGCTGGTTTAATAAAATATCCTTTGTGAGTAAGATATATAGGCTTATTTGGAGAGGATTTAGCTACTGGGAGGAGGGCTTCACTGAGTAAGTTATATGCTTCTTAGCTGCAGCAGACAGGGAATATAATTTCTTAGTTTGTCCTTCTCGTCAGTAGAAATCAGCGTGACCTGACTGCTGTCTGACTCGAGTGTCTCCTCAGCGCATTGTTCACTACAGGCTGATTTATAAAACATCTTCGTAGGAATGAGGCTGGAAGTGACATTTGGATTGAAAGAGCTGGATTAACAACTGGTATGGCAGTACGCTCACGAAAAAGGAGACAGAGAAAACAGATGGCCCGAGAAGACTTTGTAAGTGATCTTCTGCTTCGCTGGGTGGGTGGCGAGTGGGAGCTGCGACTGCCCGGCACTGCCTGTGCCTGCCGGCCACGGCGGGCAGCGGCACGGGGCTGGTGCTGACACGTGCCGAAGCGCAGGCCAGTACTGCACTGGAGAAGCCAGAATAATGCAGCAAGGATGCAGCGCCTGCAGGCAGGTAATGCTGGAGGTCGGAGCAGTTGTGCACAGAAGCATTTTCCATTTACTGGATCTTCTTCTGTGACCAGGGTCAGGCGTAACAGTCTGCCGAGGGAATGCTCCGGGAGGGCGGCTTGTTGTACGTACGTAAGTGAAAGATTGTACGTTGCATCTTTGTGTGTGTACATACAGATGAAAACTGCAGAAAATGTCTGTAAACTGAGAAGGGCATGATTAACTGTGCCCTTATCAAGAACACTTGCTGACTGTTTATTGCTGACTGACTCTGCAGATTAAATTTGCAAGAACAGCAATAAGGAGTATGTATGATGGGAGGGAGCTTAACCCCAAAGAAACTCAGCAGCTGACACTTCGGATGTTTGAATTACATCTGAATCAAGCTCTTGATTAAATCTTAGCAATGTCAAAAGCTCAAAGCAGCAACTGTAATTGATGTTGCTTTCTTCCCCCCTCATATTGCTAAATTATCTATTGCAATGTGCACCGCATCCATGTCACTACATTAAATTTGTATGCAAAGAGGGGAGATTAGGCAATATAGCCACAGGACAAACAGAATGTAGTCAGGCATATCTCCTTGTCCTCACTAGTTGGGTGTTTTTAAAAAGTGTTTCCAAATCTGAGCAAAACTGATTCCAGATGTGCTCACCGAAGGATATAAAAATCACGCTAGCACCAAGACTATCTGAATTCTGTGCTGTACCTGAATAGATAACTAGTCCCATCTTAAAAACAGAAGTGCTATAAACAACAAAAAGGCCACAGGCAGGGGTTTTAGTGCTTCATTCCCATTAGCATCCTTTCTTCCCGAGTATTTTAGACTAACATAGTTAGAAAATTCCCCTGATGCTCCAGCACACTGAATCAGAGGTGCCTGATACGACGTGGGTCGCTTGTCAGGACTGTCGGGACTGGATCCGTCCGTGGGCCTTTCGCCAATGTACAGCAGGCTGCGGTCTTTCGTGTCTTGTTCCGTTTTGAACAGCTCATACTCTGTGTGGGGCAGCTTGATGCCCAGAGCCAAACATCCATTCGTGGGTGTTATATCCTGCTCCACCCCAGCACTCCAGGAGCTTGCCAGCCCACAACTTCCAGGTTCTGACGAGTTCAGCATCATCACCGTCACCTGGTCCATTGGTGTCACCCGAGCCTGGGTGACTTTAAAAGCCAGCTCTGTGCCGCCTCTCACTTTGGAGGAGGGGATGCCTTGGCTGTAATGCCCAGATGCGTAGATGGTGAAAGTTGGCTGTTTGCAGAGTGGGTCGGAGTAGTGATAATAATAACCTTCCCAGGTGTGGTTGTTACCATGGAATATGAAGTACCTGGTAAGGAAAAGCACCGCCGGCCGGACCTCGCAGTGGGTGCTCACCCAGCTGCCGCTGAGCTGCATTGGCAGCTGAGCTCTGACGGGCAGTATGGGTGGGTGGTGCTCGTCGGCTCTGTATATAATCCCACAGGCTGGGCAAGGATGAACGTGGTGCTGCAGAAGACAAAAAACAACGTTTATGTAAACCGACAAGCAAAAAACACTTTTGGAATATTTAAAAAGCTCCAACTCCCCTCTTCCGCACCAGGGTGTTCAACGGCAGTGAGCTTGGCCCAAGACACCCAAGCAGATTAAGTGAGGTAAAGCGCTGCCCTGGCTCTTTGCTATTCTGGTCGGCTGGGAAGGACAGAGAGGTCTGAGCCCTGCGGCTGCGCTCTGCCCTGTGCCGGGGCGCCGAGGAAAGGCTGCAGGCAGGGCAGGGCGAGGGCAGAGCTGCTCCAAGGGCACGGGACGCTCCCTCAGGCCAGCCCGGTTGTTCCCTCGCGAGTTTTCCACTAGAAGCTGCTGCACGCACCCACGGGTGAGGATGATGAGTGCTGGAAGACGTCAGCTACACCAGCGCATCTCTGCCCCGGTTCAGAAGAAACAACGCCGCCTTTTTGGCAATGGAAAAGGCCGTGAAGCCTTACCGCGGGGGAGGCTTCCACGGCCGCGCCACACCGCGCTGATGGCAGCCTCCCCGGGACGGCCAAAAGCACCTTCTGCTGCCCCCTCGCCCCCGGCCCGGCGCGGCCGCACGGCGCCCACGGCCACGCTCCCGCGGCTGCGTGAGTGGGTCACTGCCGGGCGGGAGGGAGGCGGCGGGTCTGCCCAGCAGCCGGAACGGGCACCGCACCGGAGACCGAGAAGAAAAGGACCCGCTGCAAAACGAGGAGCCGACCTTTGCCGCTCCGCCTGTGCTTCGTGCGGGGCTCTGAGTCAAACCGGTCCCGCGGCTGATCCAGTGCCAGGAGGGGGGTTTGTGTAGCGTGGAACTTTTTCTTATACTTCATATATCACAACTGATTTACTTTTAAATAACCAGGGTTTGAACATTATATCGTTTTCTAGAACACAAGCTAATCTTTACTGAGCTGTCGTATGCAACGAGGTTAAATAACTCAGTAGTTAACCATAGGGTGGGTAATTTACATGCAAGTTGATTGGAGTCTACTGTAATTTAGTCATTTTCAGCTTGCTTTACTGCTACTGTCACGTTAATGAGTGCTGACAGTACACAGTACATTATGGCTAAATAATCCCAGAAGTTGGCAAATATATATGCTCTCCTCAGACAGGAAATTCTTTGATAATGAAAGGTAATTTGGGGAGAATGGGTTTCTTTAAAACAGATATAAATTTAAGGGAAAAGGAGTGATATTTTCATAGAGGGTTAAAAAATAATTCCTAACATAGCTGTGTAACTCACCAGCACAGGCAAATGGATGTTAGTTCAGAGAAAAGAAAAAAAGAAGAAAAATCCTAGGCCCAATAAAATTATCACTATAGACATGGAGCCAAAAATCTTACTTGCTTAAACCAGTCGTGTGAAGTTATTTCTAATGTATGGCAGCTTCTAATTATCGCCAAGTGGTGACATCATGTGCTGGTCCATTGGAGAGCTGTTAGCTGATTAATTACAGTGCTATATTCAGAGAGTGAATTTCAGTATCTTTAGGTTTGGGTTTAAATTAACTTTTAAAAGTGTTTATGTTTACCATCTGGTTTTGCTCATATATATGGTTTTGGCCCAAGATAACACAAGTTTAACCAATTTAAGAATGTTGCTTTCAAGGGGGAGAGGAGTGTTGCTCTGTGTTTTTCAGAATTCAATTGGTGTAGTTTGGGGTGTGGGGAAATGTTGCCCCCAAAATTTTTTTTTCCAGTTAATTCAGTTCTACCTGGTAAAGTTCAGGGAGGTTTTTTCACCCCATCTCACTGTGTATCAGTTCTGAATTGATTAGCTACGATTCAGATAGAAACGTGCTTTCCTGGGAATAAACTAACCTGCGGCAAAATA